GTCCAATCTGTCTATTGAGACTTCATTCATTCTCCTACTGTAAGCCCCATTAGACTGAGCTGATGGATGTGCCTCTCTTGGAGTTTCCATTTGCAGTCTCTTGTGGTCATGTAACATACATAATTAGTGTCACTCTGATTGACTCTATAACACCACAGAGTGAGGGGCAGGCCACTCTTCTCAAGCTTTCTTATGGACACAAGAAGGTGCCATGCAGCCTCTTAAGTCCTTCTTACTGGATGTTCTGTCTGGATGCAACAGTCCACTCCTGTGGAGCACTTTTGGTAAGTGTGCTTACTTGTCACACTGCTAATTAAGAGGGGGAAAAATGTAAGGTTGTATTTAGCTTAGCTTGGCACACACACTGGAGTGGAAACAAAAAGCAAGATACCCACCAATACTTTTAAGGATGGGAGGTATGTTTGCTAACCCTAACCCTGTACTGGGGAACTTAGGAAAGAACACCTAAGAATCATCTGGCGAGTAGGTAGTAAGGAAAGAGAATTATCAGCCAGGTCTGCCCTCAACAAACTTAAAAGTTTTTATGAAGCTCATTGTTTTACAGGACAACAATTTACTGTATGATTGAATCTTACCTGCCTCATCAACCTTCTCCAAGCCGTATCAAGCAGCTGTTTTTAGCGCCAAATGGCTCACAGATTTAGCAACTATAGCTGTTAAAAAAAGTCGAATTATCTAGGAGCTATCCAAGATATTTTTCTCAGGAGTGGATGAAAACCGCTGAGCTAAAAAGATAGTGACTACTGGACTTGCATTCTTTCAGTTCCAGACATACGACTCCAAAAGGATGATAATGTTGCTCCATGTCTCCTGGACGTGTGGGTAAGCTAACATGCTGGCTAATAACGTGCCAGGCCTTTCTGGCAGCTTGTTAGGATTTCTTCAGCCCTCTTGTGGCAAAGAAAGGAAATACATTTTTTTTGAAATAACACAAAATGACGAATTCCGTGGTGGGTTTGCCTTTAAAGGCCTGCACAGCCACATAGGTCAATAAACTACTCTGGCTAATGAGACATCTCTACTCAGGTTGAAGGTGGGTGGAGCCACATTGGAAATCAGAATCAGAATCAGAATCAAATTATACAGTATCACCAAAATCTATGTATCTAAAGTGAAAAAGGTATAAGTTGTTCGGCCATAATAAGAGCAACAAAACTAACTGGTGAGTGAAGGATGTCAATTAACAGCACATGTCCTTACATGTCTTATCAGGCAATTTAAGTAAAAAAAACCCACCTTGCTGGAGCATACATGTGTACAGGCTTTAAAAGAACTTGATTTATGATTTTTATTTTCACCCAAAAAATCCTCTTTTTATAGATGTTTATTAAGTGAAATAGTAAGAAATCCTAATAATAAAAAATAAATAGGATCATGGACACAGCTATGTTCAAGATGCTGGTTGACCACATTCATGTGAAAGTAGGTCTGCGGTGAGCATAATGTGACATTGTTCCTCAAAAAGGAGATATGACAATCAGTACTAAAGGAGACGACTGAAATCGAATCATGTTTTCAAAGTAAATGTTAAAAAATCATCCGTTTCTAAATGAAATACAATGACACCATTCCACTTAGTTACATAAGCTCTTTCGTAATAAAGCTGCACTAATGTTTGATTTGCTGAGATGAATTCAATCCTCAAATCTTCTGGAAAAGCAAAGAGTGTTTGAGGAAGCACCTGCTTGCTGGGACAGAGTTATTTCCACGGTAAACACTGGAAGAGTGAGGAACGTCATCCGGAGCACAATAATAAGGGGCTTTCCCGCAGCCATGTTTACCACAGAGCAACTTGCTCCTCTGGAACAGCTGCTTAGACTTGCTTCCAACTACATTACCGCAGATCCAACTGCAGATGTGTCTTTTAAACAAAGAGTGTGACCTTTTACTTGGGGAAAACTGCAGTTTTTGGTACTTAAAATATCACAGCAATGGTTAATTTTACTGTAGACATGAAAGTGAAATAAGACAAATAATAAAAACATAAAAGAATAAATAAATATGCTTAATTTAGCAAAGTAACTCAGGATGAAGGCTGCCATCTAACTATAAATGTAATAAAAAAATGCAGCCATGCTGCCATTACAGTAAAGCCCACATATAAAGCTACAATACATTTTCACCAGTGTGCCTGTTGAATGCATGGAGGAGGTCAATTGTCACTTTGAGTTTTTTTTAAGGCAAATGAAGGAGTGAGACCTTCCCTCACTCCATGCGTGACAGAGGACAGAAATGGTTCCCACACAGACAGGAAGTCAAAGAGGGGCCTCTTGTGATGTAGAGGGGGATCTATATTGAAGAAAGTGTGTGCGTTGATATATGTATGTGTGTGTGTCTGTCTGTCTGTCTGAATAAATCAAAACTTTGATAAACTCTGAAACAACACTAACTGAGCAATTACATTACAGCTTCTATAAATATTCAACTTGGAATCTGTATTGTATTTAACGAATGTCCTGCTTGGCCTATGGCCACACACAATAATCTAAAGCACGCACATAAGCACATGCACAGACATTTTCAGTCACAGGCAGTGCACACTCACGTTGATAATGGGAACTGAAAGTGCTCATTGGCAGCATGTATGCTTTTGGCACTGAGGTGGCCAGGGCTGCATTAGTAAAGGAGACCCACGCTCCCTGTCTTTCCCACCGTTGTTCAGGTTATCCTGTGGGGCCACTTCTGACCCTTCAGCAGGCAGGATGCAATGTCTAGGGACCCCAACAGAGCTGTACACAAGCATCCGCCAAGCCCTGGGAAGAAAACAAGGGCTGATGGAAAACCAGAAGAACTGAATATAAAGAGGAACAGCAGTTAGCAACCAGGACGCACTCAATAACACTCACCATGCACCTGCAGCCTGTGTGCGCGTACATTTGTGTGTACTGTATGTGTGTACTGAATGTGTGTCGAGTGAAGTGAGGTTGTTCCTTCAGAGAACTACAGCACAGCACAGTCCCCACACACAGCACAGGTGGTCCAAACAAAAAAAAACCTGTGAAGTGTTGCCCAGAGAGTAATATCCCCACGTTGCGTTTTGTATAAAGCCCCCCCATAGGAAACAAACACTTCCGGTGCTGCAAGATTTATTGTTCCCTGCAGTTATAGGTTACAACATACTCTGAATGATATCTTCCTTACAAGGTTCTTTGATTCATTCTTAATGACACTTAATAATAATTTAGCATGCAAACCAGAAACAAAAGGGGTCATAATTACTGCTAGATAACTCAAGGACACATTGTTTTGTGTTTAGTGTTTCCACCGCAGAAGAAGAGGGGTGAATTCCCTCTTCAGTGCATTGTGTGGTGAGAATAGGAAAGACCTGGTTAACTATGCTGTGAAAAACCAAAGCATTGTTGTACTTTGATAGATTGACCGCGCACCAGCTTGCGATGCTGGTTCCCCAATGTGACAGACTTTCACATCTGTATTCACTTCCGCACACTGCCCCTTTGCAACAGATACAGGTATGCAAGCATTACGCAATAAAAGTCCCCAAAGGTCAACACTCTATGGAAGCATTTCTATATATGAGGCCAATGTAAGGGTTATCTATTAATAGAAATGGCATGGATTTAGGGTAAAGCTCGTCTTGAAAAGGACCTACTTTTAAGAGAGACGGGGTTAAAAACATGACTTTCTACACCCTCTAGTGTCAACACTGTCGTACAGTGAGACCCAGCTATTGGGCCGCTTAATGTGTTCAGGGGTGAAAACAGAAACAGTACACTCACTCTGAATACATTTTACAATCCAGAGTAGTGTTAATTGTTTATTGCTCATTTATTTGCACACAAAAGAAAAATAAAACTACAAATCGAGCTTATAAGAGTCCTCCTCAAAGAGCACTAAAAGTAGGGGTGTGCTGATCGATACCTGAAGTATCTATACTACTGATACTAAAGATTGCTACTAGTGTCAGTAGTGCTACATTAGCTGCTCTCAATATCAGTATATGTATTGTATTGATATGGTTTTGGCCCTGGTGCTACTGTACTGTGGAATGCAGTCTTATTTATATGATGTTCCAATTACTGGTCAGCAGGCTGTAAAGGTAGGGGGGGGGGGGGAGTAGGATAAGGAGGTAAGGGGGACACTCTTAGACTCACAATACTATTTCTCAACTAGAGGGTTTCAAGACCAGCTCACCAACCCATCTTGTGGCAAGATTGTGTACTGCTCCACAGAAGTACAGTAAACATGTATCACAGTTCATAAAGAATTGTAGATAAAAAACACATTGGCTTAAACCACCAGAGGAACTGAGAAATATGTCATGGAAACCATACTAACCAAGCCATACTCTGCTGCATTATTTGAGGACCCAGCACTCAACCACACCTGTGCTCAATACGAATCACCCATACAGACACGCACAGTAGAGTGCAACCCTTTTTTCCACTGCAGATCTCATTTGATATGCAAGGATATTCACAATTTAGAACAAGGATCACAGTTACATATTAAAACAATTGTTTGCACCTTGCACGTTGTGCTGTTTCACATTGTCCAGGACATCCTTGTAAAAGAGATTAAAAATCTCAATGGATTTCTTTCCTGGTAAAATAAAGGTTAAATAAATAAATAAAATAAAAAATTATGGGCTGTCCACTAATACATTCAGAAAAACAGAACTACTTTGAAATACAACGTATCAGTAAACTTCCTTCTCTTTGTAATATGATTGATGAATTTGATAATCCTTGGTTATGCTACATTTGTGTCTGAAGGACTTAACTTCATTCATTTACTAGTTGAAAGTTTAGTAAAGAAGTTTAATAAGCAGGTGAAGTGGTCTTTGAACTGTTTTATAAGAAGGTCTGTCACAGAGGCGGGGGTGGGGGTGGTGGTGGTGGTGGGGTGACAAGATGCTGTATTTACTGTAAACTACGATCGCCCAGGGGAGGCCCTGATGTTCACTGAGAGAGAGAGAGAGGGAGAGGGAGAGAGAGAGAAAAAAAGGAGAGAGAGACTTTCAGAAACAAAATGAGCGAGTGAGAGTGACACACTGACAAGCAGTTGGTTTTCAATAAGGAAACTGACATTTAGCATCGGAGTACTTCTTAAGACACAAGCCTGGGGGACAAGTTCAAGGTATTTGTCTACTTTCTGTTTATCTCACACTACAGACTGCTAACACAAGTGCTACAAGTAATATTATGGTACACGGTATTGTGATTTTATGATGGGAAAATGAACAGACTAAACAGTGTAAAATAAAGAATTAAAAAGAGAAACATTTAACTAGTTGAACGCTAGTAGAGTTTTATTGGCGTTCCATAAAGTCACATAGTTAATTTTTACCATAAAGGGACAAATACAGCAATCGTATGGAGACAAATAAACACTTGTTAAAATAGTGGTTCCAAAGAATCATGACATTATACATGAAAGTAAATTTAGACCAAGAAAATTTAAATTCCTAGTGTGGCAAAAGCGCAGTTAAATTATTGATAAGATCTAGAATATGTAAGGTTGAAAAATGTAAAGCTCATTTTTCATTTAAATAATCAGTTCCTTTACATGGAAACAAATATGAGATGTATATCGAAGCGTATAATTGTTAGAGAAGGTCTGTCGCTGCTCAACAGCTATTTGATTTCCACTTATAAAATTACCGCCACAATTGCAATAATGCGTCAGTGGATATTTTTAGGTAGATTGTCATCATGACAGTTATATGTTAATTCATGGACAGCTTTAACATTTTTAATAAGTAAGTAATAAGAATAAGTTTCACATAGAAAAATGAGAGTTCACTGTGAATGTATGCATCTGCTTCTTATCAGTTATTTTTAGCACTTTATTTTCTCTCTGGCTGTTGTCTAAAATGGCTGTATCTTAAATTGTACATGCAAATGTTACCATATAAAGATGAAAACACATTTTCCACTTCCTCTTATGAGAGGCAATATGTTTGAAGTGCACTTGTATCCAAGACATAAAACTAATAATAGACTCTCCACTGATGATATTAGCAATTATGAGCAGGTTTAATTCATTTTTCAGCACCGGGCATGAACTCACAGACTCTCAGGCCCTGCAGCGGGAGGACTGGAGACTGAAAACAGCTTCAGCAAAGCTCATCTGCTTTATCAGGTAAGAGCACAGAAACAAACTTGCTGAGAGTCTTAGTTGGAACTTGAAATAGGTGGTGGTATTTGATAATGTAGTATGAACCGCATGGAATTACGTGGGATGAATTGTATTATTACATTGATTAAATCTTATTAGTAGTATGCAATATACTTTTTCCATTACATGTACAGGATGGGCTGCGCTTGCAGTGGCCAGAAACAAGTACAAGATGACAAGTTCTACAAAGGAAAACACAACTCTCAGGCCTCCCACTCGACAAATCACATAGTAGGTAGACTACTTAAAGGAAAAAGCTTTACTTACTTGAACAATGTACAATATAAAGTACTTTACTGTGATTTGAAACTAATGTAGTTAAATTACTTGCCAATATTTTTCCATTGACTTACTGCACTTTTTGAATTTTAAACAACATACTTTTTTCCTGTTCTTTAGGGACGAAGTGGAAACAGCTATTCGGATAATGGTAATTACTGACCACAACGCATATAACACACTTTCTACCAAAAATAACCGGTTGACTGCTGCTGTGCAGAGAGACAGTAGTAGCAGTGAGAAGAAGCTACAGCTAGCGATTGAAATCTCATTTGGATTTCCTCTATTTTCTTGGGGACAAGATGAGATTATTCACGGAAGAAAGTCATTTTTATGTCACAGACTGTATTGAAAGCTACAGAATCATTATTCGTCCAAGAAGAACAGCTTTTGTAATACTGATCTTTGAATTTAGCTGGATGCTTGTGCGGCATCCTTCCACTATAAATTTTATGTTAAAAGTAGCAGCCAAACAAAAAACTATTTAAAGACTTTTTTTGAAATTTAAAAAATTTGCACGAAATTACTGTTGTTAATTTAGGCAGATGGTTTCTTTTGAAATAACTCTTTGCTCTACTTGCCTTTAGATGATACTGTGTTTGTGGCACAGCATGACTTTAAAGGGACCAACGACAGTGATCTACCATTCAAAAAGGGAGACAAACTTAAGGTTTTACAAGAGTAAGTTCCCACATCTAGCCCCTAGTAAACAGAATGTATTCAGCAATAAAGAAACAAATGATGGTTAACCTGAAGAAATGAAAATGATCTGCCATGTTTGTCTGTTTGTAGAAATGGAGAATGGTGGGTGGCTAAATCATTGGCAACTGGGAAGGAGGGCTTCATACCATGTAATTATGTAGCCAGGGCAGATACACTGGAGATAGAAAGGTAAGACACAAACAAAAACACTTTTGTATATATTATCAAACTGCATGGCAGATATTAAAAGGTTTGTGGACTGTTAAATAATATTTTTAAATAGTTGCATAAAGCGTATTTTTCATTTCTGCAGGTGGTTTTTCAAAGACATAAGTAGGAGAGAGACTGAACGACTGCTTTTAGCCCCTGGAAACAAACCAGGTGCCTTTCTAATCCGAGAGAGTGAAACCAGCAAAGGTGACCACCGTCAGTCTCTTCGCGTGAGCGTGCCACAAATCAGAATTCTAGTGGCAATGCATCCCTACGTCCAATTACAAAACCGTTCAAGTAGTAACCCATACATGTAAATGTGCAATCTATTTGTTTCCCACTTAGGGTCCTTCTCACTGTCAGTCAGAGATCATGTACCAGAACAAGGAGATGTGGTAAAACATTACAAGATCCGCAGTCTGGACAAAGGTGGCTACTACATCTCACCCTCGAACACATTCCTATCTCTACAGGAACTGGTGAAATACTATAGCCGTAAGTAATAATCAGAACACATTTAATCAATCTATAAAATGTTGTAAAAGTACTTTTAGAGCTACATCATTTAAAAAGAAGTAGGTTTGCGTATAGGTCTCGAAATGTTTCCTTATCGGTAATTATAAAACATAGCTACATCATTTGTTGATGTGGATTCAGATTCAGCTTGCTGCTGTGAACTATAGGCTGACTGAGCTGGCTTTGAATTAAAGGGGGAAGTTAGACCCTTGTGATGCTTTGTGCATTTCCTGTGTGAGAGGAGTGATAATGAGTAGTGACTATGACTAAACCACAAGATAAGAAGGCCAAATCTTTAGAATGGCTGCCTGCACGCATCAGCTTATGAGAAAGAAGTAAACACAGACAAGCTTTCAAAATGATTTAAGGAAACAAGAGCTCTTTAGGGCTGTTCTGTTTCAGTAACTAAATTTAGCAGAGGGGAAAAAAGCAGGTAGTACAAAAATGTGTTTATTCAACTTTCATGTATCATGTTTTGGTGCAGGTACAGCAGACGGTTTGTGTCAGCGGCTGTATGCCCCTTGTAGGTCTAAGGAGCCCCAGCAGCCATGGGCACAAGACGAATGGGAGATTCCCAGAGAGACACTGAAAATGGTGAAGAAACTTGGGGCAGGGCAGTTTGGAGAAGTGTGGATGGGTGAGAAAAACTATTTATCCTGGCATTGGCAACATTTCATAATCCTAGACAGTAGAGCATAGTCAGTTAAGCACTTTGTTTCAATTCCTAATGCAGGTTACTATAAGAACACCCAGAAGGTTGCTATTAAGACCTTAAAGGAGGGAACGATGGCGCCTGAGGCCTTCCTCCAGGAGGCCAACTTGATGAAGCAGCTGCAGCATGAACGACTGGTGCGGCTCCATGCTGTGGTCACTAAGGAGCCCATCCTTATTGTCACAGAGTTCATGATCAATGGTAAGACAAAGCGGAAGACGGAAGGTGGGCAGACATTTGACGATTAAAGTCTCTCTATTGAAGGATGATATATTGTGTTACAAAAAGAGCTGCAGCTAATAAATATTTTTCATTAATCTGGAAATTATTTTCTTGATTAATCGTTTGGTCTAATAATGTCAGAAAATTGTGAAACATATGAGTATTAGGGCCACACTGAGGAATTTAAAAAATCAGAGATTATGAGAAGAAAGTCATAATATTACGAGAATAAAGTCATAATATTACGAGAATAAAGTCATAATATTACGAGAATAAAGTTGCATTTTTAAGATAAATGTTATAAAGGGAAATATCAGAAGAGCATCCTGCCGCCTCCATGCGTTAAAAAACGTGGAGAATCTTGTGAAGTTATACTTCAGTATAGGTTTCACAAATAACGACATACGAAATCTTTTGGCACATAAGCACCAAATTTTGGCACATCAGCACCAAATTATCAGTATCAGGACTTTGAAAAGACTATGCAAGAAACTGTCTCTATTCTGAAGTAAGAATCACACGGGCTTGGAGGAAATTGCCTCTTGTAGAAGAGGAGATGGCCGGTAGTGGTCGACTGCAAGGCTATCGTTGCTTACATCTGCGTGCTATTAAAAGGGGTTTCACGGTTTCTCAAGAAACCTATACTGAAGTATAACTTTACAAGATGCTCCATGTTCCTCATTTTAACGCATGGAGGTGGCAGGCTGCTCTTCTGATATTTCCCCTAACATGTAGCTTAAAAATACAACTTTATTCTTGTAATAGTATGACTTTATTCTCGTAATATTACGACTTTATTCTCGTAATATTATGACTTTATTCTCCTAATAATAGGCCTACTACTTTATTCTTGTAATACTACTTTATTCTCATAATATTACGACTATTAAACATCTTCAAAGGTCTTGTTTTGTCCAACCAACAGTCCAAAACCCAAACATATTCAATTAAAAAGGATATAAAACAGAGAAAAACATTTGAGTAGCTGGACCGAGAGAACATTTGGCATTTTTGCTTGAAAAATTACTTTAAACTATTAATTGATTACCAAAACAGATTCATTGTATGATTAATTGATTAATTGTTGCAGCTCTGACACTAAACCAATTTCAAAACATGGGCAAACCATTAACAGTTCATTTTTGTCAGTCGCTGCTTGTGAAAAGTACTTTGTTGTAATAAATTGTAGAAAATTACATTTGTAAAGCATAAAATATTCAATTTATGAGACTGTGTCAGAGGTTGATTCAATTCTATGGTAATTCTTGAATCCATAAAATGAGGTGTTGTTGTACTTGTGGATTACATCTACATATGCAGTAAGGTTTGTTGGGGAGAGTTGTTGTATTGTAATGAATTGTATTAGGCAGGAGATGTAAAAGCAAGGATTGTACCCTTATTACTGAGTATCCTTCTATACTGAAAGTGGAACAGTATCACATGAATTTGGTTGCGTCGTCTTTCTGTGCAACCCCTTTAATTGTAAGACATTTTGACACAACTACAGTAATTCTCTGAAAATTTTGTCTGTCATTTCTCATGATGATAAAAGTTGTGCTTCTCCTTTTCTCATTCGCAGGATGCCTCCTAGACTTTCTAAAAACAGATGAAGGAAAAAAGCTAAAGCTAAATAAGCTGATAGACATGTCAGCACAGGTGGGGAATGTTTAATTATAAATACACAATTTCAACAACACAACCTCTGTGAATGTACGCAATCTTTTATGTGACATTTTCATCACGTTGCTAATTCACATCTCTCAGTAAAAATATCAATCTCTGAACATTAACCAAATACAGAATCTTTTATCACTTTGCCTCGGAGTGCTTCCGTTATTCTCGTTATTTTTTTTACTTTTTTTTCACTGATACCGCTTGTTTGCGACTTGGCATTAATATTTACTTCACAGTTCTTTGCTTCCTTTGACAAAAATAAAAACACTAGCCGTCTCACTGACCTCAGAGTCTATTTATACACACAAGCTGTTCTACAGTGCCACTTTGAACGTCTGTTATAGTATGTTCTTTGACACCAGTCATGATGTGATACACATGGAAACTGTCAGCAGTAGCTGTGTGGTTTCTGTGGCGGGGCTTTTGCTCATCTGGCTTGAAAGCCTCGCCCCACGTCAATTATTAACATCCGGACAGGAAATCATGCATTTTCCATCCACAGTGAGTTCCCCCAGAACTCTTTTGCCCCTCCAAAAAAACAAAAAAAAAAGCATTTTCACTTCCTGAGAGTTGGCACATCCTGTTAAACCTACTTTGCTGCCAATATCACACACATAAACACAAGTATACACACATACTGTAGCTGCACAAGCTTTACATTTGCTCAACTGAAGTTACTGTACACACTAACCAGCGGAAATGCATACAATATGTGTACATCACCATTTATTCGATGAATTCAGGGTACTGTAAAACAGACATCTTTCAAGTGTAGTTATTAGTTATTTCTTGATACAAATGAATGAAATAACAGCTTCATTTTCCAACTTTGCATTTGATCTCACGATTCACTCAAAGAGCCATCTCAAATATTCTACTTTATCTCCTTACATGACAGATAGCTGAAGGCATGGCGTACATCGAGAGGAAGAACTACATCCACCGAGACGTGCGTGCAGCCAACATTCTGGTCAGTGAAACCCTGCACTGCAAGATAGCAGACTTTGGCCTGGCGAGGATCATCGAGACAGAATACACAGCTCAAGAAGGTGCAGTATGTGCAGTGTTTCCCCATGTTGGACCAAGGGCCATAGCCAGGATTTTAAAAATGATGAGATCATGACTTAAAATCCCCCAATGCACCTCCATCCTCCTAAATTTGAACAAGAACCCAAAAAAGGTCTCTACATTTTTTCAAATCAGAAGTTCTGATTTTTAAAAAATATTGTATTGTATGTTGAGTCACCTGTTAATTACACTTTCTGTAATGTTTTCCCTCTCCAGCAACATGAAGGTCTAAATTAAATTGCATTAATTTGGCGGATGCGTCTGTCCAGAAAGAAGTGCAAGAAGTACATTAAAACTAAAAAGAAGCAAGAGATATATAACACTCCCAAAGAAACAGTTAGAAAGCGTGTTAGAGAGCTTTGTCGCATGTGCCTTTAAAAAAAATAATTATAAACATAGGCGCTAGCGTGGGGCATTGAGGTGAAATCTGTAATGTTGTTTTCAGTGGTTTCTCTTGGCTGCCTGGAATAAATACAAAGAGTATAAAAGAGATTAAAGAGAATGACACCTCGATATAAATGGTGTAGGAAAATTTCTAACAGTTATCAAATCTCTGTCATCTCAGGGTATTATGCCGTCATATCACCCCAAGTTAAGAAGAACAAACACACATTCGCACAAAGCACACATATCACCACCTACATGTTCTCTACTACATTTCCTTCTGCTATTTCTCACCCTCTTTGTGACAACTAGGTGCTAAATTTCCCATCAAATGGACGGCTCCAGAGGCCATCAATTTTGGCACATTCAGCATCAAATCAGACGTATGGTCCTTTGGGATCCTCCTCACAGAGATAGTCACCTATGGAAGAATACCCTACCCAGGTACGACAAGTGAGAAATAAATAAAAAAAGAGAGAAACATGTACTTAACGTAAATTATGTATATTATAATGTTGCCTTGTTACTTTGAAGCTAAGCAAAATATGATCTATTAAAATCTGGCTGCATTTTTGTTTTTCCTGATCAGGGATGACCAACCCAGAGGTGATCAGGTGCCTGGATAGGTCGTACAGGATGCCATGTCCGGACGGCTGCCCCGAGGAACTCTATGACATTATGATGATATGCTGGAAGCAGAGGCCTGAGGACCGGCCTACTTTTGAATTTCTCCAAAACACTCTCAACGACTTCTTTATTGCCACAGAGGGACAATATGAGATGCAGCCGTGATAAAAGAAAAAGAAAATGTTTCCTGTTGGTAACCCGTAGAGACAAAATGTCCGACATGAAGGAGGATGAGGACCAAACATCTTCTTTATAACAGATGCAATTGATTTTTTTTAAAACCTTTCAAATGGACACATTTTTTAAAGCCTACCTTCTGACTAAAGCTATTTATTGGCTTCCTCTGTCTCTCGCAGCTAAGAACGCCTGAAAACATGTCAGAAAGGCAACGTTCAGAACTGCAACGCAATGTTTTATTATACTGACTGTACTCCTGCCATTGATGGCTCCCATTCTTGATGACAGCCACAGAGTATGAGGAGACTGATATATACAATGGTAAAAAAGGAATATGGAAACACAGTACATGCATGATGTAAAAAAGACCTTTGGACCCAAGGAAGTCAGCTCAGGTAAAGTTACAGATAAAACATTTGCATGGTACAGAAACAAGCAGCCTGAGATTACATGCACAATACTTTGCACTTTTTTCCTTCAGTCATCCAGCAGATAAAATAGAAAATAGAAAAGGGCTTCCTAAAGAGAATTTTTACTTGCATACATGTTTTTTTTTAAATAAAAATATTTACATTATTTAGAAGCTGGGCATGTTGTTATATTTCATTCCAGTTGGTTTATTTACTGTGCCATAGAAGGGTTAATCAGTTCACAGAGAAACGGACCTTCTCTATCATGCACTCTGTACGCTTAGCATAAAACATACATACAAGATGGGACTTTTAAGGGCTATATTTTGACAGCTTTTTATGCTGTGTGACATAAAATAGACAGCACCCTGAATTAAACAAGAATAAAGAGGGTTTACATGCACAGGAAGTCCCATCCAAACATATCATCTAAAGTATATAATTTCTGGGACTTTAATTTTTGTTTGAATAATAAGCCAATGGAGGATAAACAGTGATGAGCGATAACAACCCAAAGGTAAAACCCAAACTCTATGACCAAGTCTCTCAGTATTATGTGCTCAGAGACAACAGCAGCCTACAGGAAGCCTTTAAAAGCAACTGGCCCTACTAAATTACAGTGGTTTTGATCCTGTAACTAAACCATCCCAGGGGGGCTCAGACTGTATCTTGAAGATAAGAGAGTTGGATGGCCGAGGCAGCCAGGGGTTAAACCCTGCAACTTCCGGAATGGACAGGAAACAGGAAGTGCGAGTCAGCATTCCTCAAATGCCACACAGCTAGAAGCACCTCACACGCTACATTGGTGGGGTTCTTTACATTTTTTCTACTTGAAAACACTAGTTTGGTATTTGGCGGTTGAGAGTGTTTTCTCTGCTATGGTTGATAAACCTCCTTTCAATTGTGAGGAAGAGAGAGACTTTTACTTTATGGAATTTAATATTAACTGCAAATAAGATGAGGGAAAACATCAGCTTCCATTAATTAATAGTACAGGCAAATACACACTCAAAATGCACCAAGTGTGACTTTGTGTTTATGTACCATTGGCCAGCTTTCTTGTTGTGTCATCAAAACAGCCTGTAACAGCAACTGATTTCTTTTTCATATACATGAGCTCAGGGCTTTCTCTAAAAATATGCATAGTCTTTCATTTTCTTATACATTAAATCCATTAAATACATCATAGCATCAGAGAGCTGCCACGCTGGCAATCTGTGTAATATCGGTCTTTCTTACGCATGCAAGCAGAGACAGTTTAACGGTAGTTTGGCCAGTTAAATGCCTGTGGCATCTTGGATGTTTTAACTTCATCAGTTATGGAAATGAACAATTCCCCGTAGTCACGTGGTTCATTTTCCTGATAATACTAATCTAAAATTATAAACGCAAGAGAAGTTTGAAAAGCAGAAACTGTAAGAAGAAAAAGGGCAGTGTTACAATGATGATGTACTCTTGTCATCCTGCAGAGGACAGTGTCACACAGTTTCACACCAAGTGCTCTGCTGTAAACTACAAAGAGACTGTTGTTCCACTAACTATGTGAGAGTCACATTTCCTTCATTTAAGACAATCTGCAAAATGATACTTCAAATTATATATTACCACAATGCCAACATTGTGTCTCAATTTTTTTATGAGTGTAAAATGAGCATTTTTATTGAATATGAGGCTGATGGCAGGGGAATGCATCCTCAAAACATACAGCACATCCTCCTAATGGCATTATTTACATGTTTCTTGGTCACAGCCATGGTCAAAAATTCCTCATAAATCACACCTCCTGCTATGGGCTAAGGAGTTCCACTGTGTACAGCTGTGTACAGCTGTGGTCTCTAACTACTGGGCCACCATATCACACACTGATTCTATCACAGTAATCTGTGTCTAATTTATTTATCTAATTATCTGGCTGTCTTTGCATCTAAAAGTGTTTACGTGAAAGGCTCAAAAGGAATAAGTATTATAACATAATATAAAATCGTTATTGTATCTGTAGAACAATTGCATTACCATTAGTCACACCTTTATTAATTTAGGCATTTGCTTTACTAAATCTGCAGTTTACCTCTGGCAGCATCAACAAATATAACAATGGTGGATTATCTATCAAATATCCTAAGAATCCATTGAGCACAGGGTGAAATGTTTTCATTCAGTGCAAGAAACTGGAAATGTAATGGGAAGCAGCTAATGTTTGGTCACTGTTTTCAAAAGCTACCCCACAGGCAGAGATAATAATAACACCAGTCTGTCTGCTGATGAAGTGAGGGAACTACCATTAATAAGTCTCACACTGTAGTGTGATTGATAAGCAGCCTCACCTTGAAAGGAGCCATGATGTTAACACAAGAAGACAAGACATGAGGGGTAAAGGTTGGGAGGCCCAAAAACCCTCTCCCCTCCTTCTGCTCATCACTGCTGCCTAAAAGGGATAATGACGGGAAATTGTTGCTCGTACACAAATTGATGACTGATCCCTGTAGAAGGCAACACATCATTAGCATCATGTGAGGATAACCCCGCTCTGTCCTCTGGGATATAAAAAAAGAATACAAGAGCATGCCACCACAGATGAAAAGAGGTGTGCTTTCATCTTCCAATGTTGTTGCTGTTGTCAACGGCGTACAATTGAGATTATGCTCCCCATAAACGTGCTTTCTCTCCTGGGCTTTGATGTCATTAAATTAATGGAGTCCATCAATCAAGAGTGTTCGGTCCAACAGCTGTGAAGGTAGAAGAAGTCTACAAAACATTTAGGAAAACAGCATTTGGAGGATGACAAAAGGATGAGCCTCACACAAACTAGGGCTACTAAATGTGTAAGAGTCATGTCATAAACAGATTTTATTTATGAATCATAATATCATATATATAGTTTTACTTACTTACTATAAAGCTTTATTTCCTGAAGTTAACATGAATTAACAAACAATTAAAAGCAGATCTTCTGTGCACACATCAATCTGTGAAAACTTGCCTCAAACAAGAAGGTACAGCTCTCTTAATGGCTCCAGGTGCTGCAAACAGGCAATTGTTTTGTGTTTTACAGGGCTGTGCAATATGACGATATGATATCTATCGCCTGACGATAGAAAAACATCTATTGTTAACGTCTATAGAACATCCAACGTAATTCTAAAATCTAACTTGAAGCTAACTTCACCGCGGTCAGTTCTTCCACATATGGCGGTGTTGCGGAAAAGAAATTTGCATTCAGTATAAACAAATGTGAAGGTGAGTGAAGTTTACTCCTAACTGGATAATACTGAACTGCAGGAATCAGACAATGCAAGCTAAAACGAGGAGCTCATACCAAAGAGAGAAGTCTGTTGAGCCATTATTCCAGCAGTTCCAGCCATGATGTTTGTGTCAGGCAACTTTTAATGGCTTGCCCGTGGACACCGAGGTTACTTTCTAGTTCACCAAGACATACAGTGTTGTTGCGATACTCAGCAGAAGAGCTGAGTATCGCAGTCTAGAGCTGCTGTACTGCTCTGGGACCATCTCATCCCTTTCTTAAGCTTTGCAGCAGTTAGTAGCTACAGTTTGCTAGCCCACAACTTACTGTAGCTAACGTTAGTTACAGTCATGCTGTGTTGTTGTTCACTCTATATCATGGTATTTGTCATGTTATTGGATTTCTCCAGAATCCTTTATGAAAACTCCACAGTAGGTGACCAGATTTCTGAAATGAAAATCGGGGACATTTTTGGTTTGGTGGACAGTATGTCATTAAAAAATATAATGTTATTTTATATGAAATAAAAAAGGGGGACGATTTTGGTTATAATCTGTCAAATATTGGCTAACTCTTCTAAATGAAATTAAGTCATTTTGAGGCAGAAACTACCTTTCAGTCAGTAAGTAGAGGCTGCAATCACTTTCTAACAAGTATACTGCATGTATGTTGTTTTGGCCATTTAATGGTATTTTAAGAGTTATAATCTGTAAAACGCATAGGTGTCATTTATACTGGGGACGCTGGGGACATGTCCCCACCACTTTTTGAAATGGCTGATGTTTTAAAGCATTTGTAAAAAAAAAAAAGAAAGAAAAAAGGCTGAAAAATTGCTTGCAACAAGAAATGGATTTAAAATATAGTCTTGTCATGTTCTTGTGACACAAAGCTGTGCATCATTATGTCTCATGGCATTGGCTCTCATTGGCTGGAGCAGACACGGGGAGAACATGCAAACTCCACAAAAGAAAGGCCGTGGAAACCGGGGTTTGAACCCACAACCTTCTTGCTGTGAGGCAACAGTGCTAACCACTTCACCACCATGCCGCCCCTTGGCAAAACATAACCCTCATATATGAAATCAAGTCATTTTGAGGCAGAATCTACCTTTCAGGCCATAGGTAGAAACTGCAATCACTTTCTGGCAAGTGGAATGCTGCATTATATGGGTTGTACTGGCCATTTAAAGGTATTTGAACAAGTAAAAAGGTCTGGATTGGTTGGTACAGAGCAAGTTAAATAATGTAGGGTCATAAGGATAATTGCAAAAGAGATTCTGGTCACCCTACTCCACAGAGCCCCTGAGCTCTACAGAGTGTTTTAGCAACTTTTAGTTTCTTGTTTTCGTTTTGAGACCTGCAACTTTTCTGTTTTGAATCCCTCTCATCAGGATTGTTTTCCAATACAACAGCATGTTGAGCTAAATAAGCTCTGCTAAATACACTGTACGCTACCTGTCCAGCACCAAACACCAGACTGTTTAGTTAGAGACAGGCTGGTGAGCACAGTAAAGCACTTACCAGCTAAAGAGCCAGATATTTCCCAGAGGAGTTAGTTGGAAAGCAAAACAGAGATAAAAGGAAAGTGAATACTGGAATTACAGTACATCCGACAGGTGGACAGAAACACGACTCCAAATCACTGCTAATGCTGCTCCATGTCTGCTGGAGTGTGTAAATAGGTGAGTGTTTGCTTAATACAGTTGCCATATCAAGTTTATAAATTGATGCATTGTGTTTATAGTTTCTATTATTGTTGCTATTGGCAATAGGAAGATGGCCAGGAAAGTGGTGGCACTAACACACATTAGATAGCTTTAACACAAATACACCTACTACTGTCTACCCCTGACATACAAAATCAGTAACATGTTCATGTTAATTTTTCCTCATCATTTGGAGCATGAAAAAACCCACTTCTATTCT